GAGTAAGAATTAAAAGTCTTTTCTAGCCCATCGAAATGTGTAATAAATTTCTTTTATGTTTTTTCCTTCTTAGTTTTTGAAACGTTAACCTTGATTGTGAAAATAAATATTTAATGACATTAATTTTTTTGCTGTTAATAAAAATAAATAATATAAAATTTTTTAACGTTTTATTTAAAATTTTAAACTTTTATTTTCTCCTTCTATATCAATAGATGTAATCATGCAAGGTTGGAATGTTTCGTTCCACTCTATCTATATACAAAGTAGGGCCCAATGTCAAATCTCTCGTATTTTTCAAAAAATGGGTAAATTTATCGAGAGGACACAAAAATAATAATATTAAATTTAACATCTGTTTGACATACATTTTCTTTTCATTCTCTTTATAAGCTCCTATTTGACACCTATTTTGAAAAATAAATAAATTTTGGAATAGTGATTGATGGAAAAATGTGTGATTGAAAAGTAATGAGAATTTTTGGGTTTATGTGTAATATTATTTTATTGATAGAATGTGTAGTTGAAATGAAGAAAGAGAAAAAAATGAGAATGAGAAGAAAATGAGTGTCAAACGGGGGCTAATTTTGTTCTCTTTTTTCATTTCAACCAAACAAAGACTTAACTTTGTGGGATTAAGGGTATGTTTCATGATATTATTGAGAAAAAATATATTTTAAATAGTGATATGATGAGAAATATATGGTTAGAAAGTAAGAAAAAACTATGAATGTGATGAAAAATATTATTTTATTGAATAATGTGTGATTGAAAATAAGTTTTGAAAAAATGCATTTTAAAATAATGTATGTCAAACAGGGCTTAAATGAATATTGATACTTCTATCTTGATGGGCAAAAAAATCAAGATCTCGGTATAGGACGGTTGTAAACCGGTGATTTAGGTTTAATCAAGTCTTGAGTGATTATTGCTAATTATTACGGTTTCTTAGTGTGCTACGTAATCTACGCACTTAACTTTTGTTTGGTAGAGATTAAAATCAGATTATTTTTTTTATCAAATTTTGATAAAAAAAATGTTAATGAAATCTGTGGTTGAAAAGTTGTGAGTTTTATAATTTTATAGTTAACATTAATTATTGATTTTGACTTAAATTTTAATCGAATTTTTAACGGTACCAAACAAGGGCTTAGTACGTGCTTTTCTCTTGCAATTCTAGCTTTTATTAAATATCTTCAGTACGATTGTTGCCTATTGCCCACACACGTGTAATCACTTTAAGGAGAATATTTAAGAGGATTTTAGGGTTTGACGCTCTCGTTAAGGGTATTTAATAGAATACTTTAAAGTTCAGTTTATGCATTTTATGTGTGATTAATCACTAGATTCGCTACATATTTTGTCCACCCACACGCAATAAAAACAAAAGATAAGGTCAAGGGAGAAAAACTCAAATTGAGAGCATGTTTGGTAAAAATTTTCATTTTCTACAGTAAATCAATTCTCATTTTCAACCACATATTTTTCAATAAAATAATATTTTCCATCACATCAATACTTTTTTCTTCTTTTTCAACCACACATTTCCCATCATATCACTATTCAAAAATCAATTCTTCCCCCAAAAATCTCTACCAAACACACTCTGAATGTGATTTTACGAATTGCCGATAGACCACATGAAGAAGAAAATCAATAACTCAATAAATCTTACGATAAAGAACTTCGTCACTCTCTTGACTTTTACCTACACAAAATTGTAACGTTCAACTTACGTTACACACAAGTTCTCAACCTCTCTACGTCAATTTTTTTTTTCTAACCACCGACTCCCCAGTTTTTGGGCCTAAACTCTAATATCATAATTTGTTATTTATATAATGTTACGAGACTACTAATAAATTACAGTAGTTTTGCTACAATGTACATTAAAGTTTGACAGTTTGGTTGATATTATTTGATGTGGTAAGCATAACGACCATTGATGGAGGATGTCGAACTTAGTAGATTAATTCAATAAATTATGTTAACTTTCCGTTCCTTAAATTTCCTATTTTTCTTGCGGTACGCTACTAGAAATTACGGCTTCGATGATGAAAATTTAACGACATTCCATTTCTGTCGCTAATAAAGATGGATTACGGCTTCGATGTTGTAAATCGGCGATTTAGGTTTAATCAAGTCTTGAGTGATTATTGCTAATTATTACAGTTTCTTAGTGTGCTACGTAATCTACGCACTTAACTCTTGTTTTGATAGAGATTAAAATTAGATTTTTTTTTTATCAAATTTTGATAAAAAAAATGTTAATGAAATGTGTGGTTGAAAAATTGTGAATTTTATAATTTTTATAGTTAAAATTAATTATTAATTTTGATTTAAATTTTAATCGAATTTTTTTACGGCACCAAACAAGGGCTTAGTACGTGCTTTTCTCTTGCAATATCTTCAGTACGATTGCCTATTGCCCACACACGTGTAATCACTTTAAGGAGAATATTTAAGAGGATTTTAGGGTTTGACGCTCTAAATATCTTCAGTTTATGCATTTTATGTGTGATTAATCACGAGATTCGCTACATATTTTGTCCACCCACACGCAATAAAAACAAAAGATAATGGCAAAGGAGAAAAACTCAAATTGAATGTGATTTTACGAATTGCCGATAGACCACATGAAAAATGAAAATCAATAACTCGATAAATTTTACGATAAAGAACTTCTTCACTCTCTTAACTTTTACTACACGAAATTGTAATGCTCAACTTACGTTACACACAAGTTCTCAACCTCTCTACGTCAAAATTTTTTTTTTTTCTAACCACCGGCTCCCCGGTTTTTGGGCCTAAACTCTAATATCATAATTTGTTATTTATATAGTGTTACGAGACTACTAATAAATTACAGTTTTGCTACAATGTACATTAAAGTTTGACAGTTTGGTTGATATTATTTGATGTGGTAAGCATAACGACCATTGATGGAGGATGTCGAACTTAGTAGATTAATTCAATAAATTATGTTAACTTTCCGTTCCTTAAATTTCCTATTTTTCTTGCTGTACGCTACTAGAAATTACGGCTTCGATGATGAAAATTTAGCGACATTCCATTTCCGTCGCTAATAAAGATGGATTATCTACAAATTTTCGACAATATATTTTATTAATTATTTTAAATTAAAATAATAATGTATAACGACGGCTTCTCTAAAAGATTTAATATGTTTTTTTTTTTGAATTGAAACGTTAACATGTTCATATAAAATCAACGATTTTAGTTCAATTTGACGCGTTGAAGATTTTTCTATTCACCCTAATCAATTGGTGCCTTTATACCAAAATCTATCCCTCAGTCAAAAATGGTAAACTTCCTTCTAGCCCCTTTTTTTTTTCTTTACTTTATTTTTCCTTCACAATTCTTCTCTTTTTCTCCCATCTAAGAAAAGAATGTGGGGTTCCCTTAAGCCCTATTTCACCCTTTTTTTTTTCTTCTCATTTTAATAACCAAAAAATAACAATTCGAGTTTTTCTTAACCATGTATAGTGGTAAATAATAATAATAATAATAATAATAATAATAATAATAATAATAATAATAATAATAATTGATTGTAATAAATATAAGTTGGAAATATAAAATATTTCAATTTTGGTTTATATTATATTAAATAAGGAAAGGATTGGAAGATCACGGGTGCTAATTAAGGAACATGATTCCTACCTAATCAACCCCAGCTTCTACGGGTAAATTTCACATGCGGTCACTGTACTTTCAATTGGATCGTTAAACTTTACTTTGTCTGAATTGACGATTGAAATTCAATTTAATTTTAAATTTCACCCCTTCGTATCGACAATAATTGCTTAATCGGTAGCTATACCACAATGGATCTTTAACTAAATTGTTGAATGGCAAGTCAATTTATCAAATACGTCATGTCATGAAAGTGTTAAACTTGAATTTCTAGAATCTCAATTGTGATTGAGCCTTCTAACCTTTTAATTTAAAGATATCATCGTAACTCTAAATTAATTATTTTCATTCATAAGGTGCTACATATTGATATAACTGCCAACTGAAGAATTTCAATCAAATTGGAGGAAGATACGAGATAAAATGTGAAAGAAGGATAAAATTCATAGTTAAATTAAACTTCACTAATTAATTAAGACAAATTAAAATTTAATATTTTGTCAGTTCTATAAAGATAGACTTGTTTTCATTTTTATCTATTCCAAATTATAGGCTATTTTTCTTATTAAGAATATATTTTAATGTATCTTGTTATCAACAAATATGGATTGCTCGTATTTAAATCATTATTTAATGTGAGGACATGTTAAAAAATGTTTTAAAAAAAATTATATTTTTAATTATATTTTATTGACCTGTGTGAAAATGGAAACAAGTCTGGGTGGGAGAGGTAAAATAAAATTCATTGAAAGTTCAATGACTATTTCCTTAAAAAAAAAAAGCAAGCCCAGCAGTGCACATCCTTTTCATTTTTATCTATTCCAAATTATAGGCTATTTTTCTTATTAAGAATATATTTTAATGTATCTTGTTATCAACAAATATGGATTGCTCATATTTAAATCATTATTTAATGTGAGGACATGTTAAAAAATGTTTTTAAAAAAATTATATTTTTAATTATATTTTATTGACCTGTGTGAAAATGGAAACAAGTCTGGGTGGGAGAGGTAAAATAAAATTCATTGAAAGTTCAATGACTATTTCCTTAAAAAAAAAATGGGGACAAACTTATCAAAGGCCACGTGTATCATTCGTTGACTTTATTCAATAGTTTTTCTCGGAAGTGAAGGCTGTGGGCCCAAAAAATACGTAAAATATTCGAAAAAAATAATGTACCTTAATATAGAAACACAAAAATCCTCAAGCCTTGGCTTTTCCTTTTAAAAACGCCTATATATATATATATATATATAATAAATACAGGAACGTTCAATTCAAAGACAAAAACTGCAAAATCCCAACTGAGAAATTACCAAGTTTCGCAGAGAAAGTAAAGAGCAATGGGAGATTTGCTTCGTAATAGAGATGTAGGAGGGTTGTTTAGGGTTTCGATGTGTGGCGGAGCTCAAGAAATTGAGCATATGTCAACTGAAGGAAGCCATTATAGTCTGTCTACTGGGATCCTTCCTTCTCTTGGTGCAAGAAGCAATCGTAGAGTCAAGCTCCGAAGGTTCATCGTTTCGCCTTATGATCGCCACTACAGGTCCTTCTTTTGATCTTTTCTCTATTTATATATTTATGTATGAGTTTTATTTGCATGTTCTTACAGACTCTCTCGTACTTTCGGGTTCAAAATATGGTGATTTGAATGAACCACCCCACAGAAGCTTTTTGCTCTTCTTTGATATATTATCATAATTCTATTTTGAAATTTAAAGGAGAAACCAATCCCCATTAACTATATATTTGTTCAATTGTTTTACTCCTTGAAAGCACATTTTTTTAACTAATTCAAGAAAACTTTTCGTTGTGGATCTTCTTTGACTTTTTTAGTTTTGGTGGTTTTTTTGATTTTCTTGATTATGTCAATGGAGAAAAGTGGAATGGATACTGCTTCTTTAGTGGGTGTGGTGCTTTTTTCAATTGATTTCAAATACTTTTTTTGGCTGCCTGTCTTGGACTTCACCTATTATTTGGAACCACTTAAGAATTTTATTTGGAATTGCAATTCAATTTTAATTATTCTTGTGTTTGGAACATGGGAATTGATTCAATTGGAATGAAGTTTCAAAGTTTTATTTATTTACTTATTTTTGTGCTGTACAAGGTTTAAAAGTCTGTCGGTTGACTGCTAGAAACCTGTTGGATTATGTATTTGAAAAACAATCAGTATGCCTTTTTGCTAAATTCAACTTGGTGTGAATTGAATTTTGTTTGTAGGATATGGGAGACCTTTCTGGTTGTTCTTGTTGTCTATACAGCATGGGTGTCACCATTTGAATTTGGGTTTCTTGAGAAACCAGAGGGACCTCTGTCCATAACAGACAACGTTGTCAATGGATTTTTCGCCATCGATATCATTCTTACATTCTTTGTTGCATACCTGGATAGAGCTACCTATCTTCTTGTTGACAACCCGAAGCAAATTGCTTGGAAGTATGCGAGTTCTTGGTTGGCATTTGATGTGATATCTACAATCCCTTCTGAACTAGCTCGTAAGATCTCCCCGGAACCTTTACAGACATATGGCTTATACAACATGCTTCGTCTCTGGCGTCTCCGGAGAGTTAGTGCATTATTTTCCCGGTAAAATACTTTATCATCTGTTTATAAGGAATTTTTGCAATATATGTCCATATTTTCTCAAGTTTAGATGACGGTACCTTATTTTTGTTTAATTTTCAATTTTTCTTTCTTCAAAACAGATTGGAGAAAGATAGGAACTTCAACTACTTTTGGGTTAGATGTGCAAAGCTTGTTTGTGTAAGTGCATTTTAAATACGTTAGGATTACGCTATCGAGAAAAATGGGGTCTGTTTTACTGAACTATCTTCCTAAAGTACTGTAGGTTACTCTATTTGCTGTTCATTGTGCTGGTTGCTTCTATTATCTACTTGCTGCCCACTATCACAATCCGAGCAAGACATGGATTGGTGCAGCTATGGGCGACTTCCTTCATCAGAGCATATGGGTTCGATATGTTACTTCAATTTACTGGTCTATCACAACTCTCACTACCGTAGGTTATGGGGATCTGCATGCTGAAAATACGAGAGAAATGATATTTGACATTTTTGACATGCTCTTCAACCTTGGACTCACAGCATATTTGATCGGAAATATGACAAATTTGGTGGTCCACGGGACCAGTAAAACCCGACAATTTGTGAGTAATTCTAATACATATTGCTTCTATATGGCCTTTGATTCATTTGATTTTGTCAATTTATGTTTCTGTTATTTTACGTGCAACAATAGAGAGATACCATTCAAGCTGCTTCAAGTTTCGCACAGAGGAATCAACTGCCTGCTCGACTTCAAGATCAGATGCTTTCGCATTTGGGGTTGAAGTTCCGGACAGACTCAGAGGGGCTGCAGCAGCAGGAGACTCTTGATTCACTTCCAAAAGCTATACGCTCAAGTATATCACATTTTCTATTCTACTCTCTGGTAGACAAGGTATACTTGTTTCGTGGAGTGTCCAATGATTTACTCTTCCAGCTGGTAATTCTCTATAACCGAGTCAATCATTGTAGTCTATTTATTCTTACAAACTGATGTCGTTATAATAACATATATTTCTTTATATTGAAGGTCTCTGAGATGAAAGCCGAGTATTTCCCTCCCAAAGAGGATGTGATCTTGCAGAATGAAGCACCGACTGACTTTTATGTTCTTGTTACGGGGGCAGTGGTAAAGTTGGACATCCAAACTCTGTTTCTCATTATGTTTACTGTAATCGAGCTCAATTGATTGTTCTAGTATACTTTTGGATTATATCATGATGTTTCAATTGCATTACAGGAACTGCTGGTTCTGAAAAATGGAGTTGAACAGGCAAGTCTCCTTTATAAATCCTAAGTGGAAATTCTCTGCTCCTCAGAAAAGCAATTTTCACTTTTAATTTAAAACCTCGACTGAATCTTAAATATTTGCAGGTTGTTGGAGAGGCCAAAGCTGGCGATCTTTGTGGTGATATTGGTGTACTTTGCTATAGGCCTCAACTATTCACAGTGCGAACGAAAAGATTAAGTCAGTTATTACGACTGAACCGTACCGCGTTTTTGAACATTGTTCAGGCCAATGTTGGAGATGGGACAATAATCATGAACAATCTCCTTCAGGTCCATATCCCTTTCAGATTTTTCATTATCTTTTGTAAACAATGTTGATCAAATGTTACCTGCTTATATTGCACGTAAATATCACTTCAAGCTTATTTCACTACATGAAACGTGTAACTTGAATCTTATGTGGAAAAGTAAATGATGTTTAGTAGAAAAGTAGACTCTTACAACGGATTGTAAATAACAGTTTTATCATTTATTTTCCTTTCGTCAGCATTTGAAGGAGCTAAATGACCCAATAATGGAGGGAGTTCTGCTAGAGACGGAGAACATGCTCGCTAGGGGTAGATTGGATCTGCCTCTCACCCTATGTTTTGCAGCACTTAGAGGAGACGACTTGCTGTTACATCACTTGTTGAAGAGGGGTCTAGATCCAAATGAAGCCGACAATAATGGAAGGACAGCTCTGGTGTGTATGTCTTAATTAGTAGGATAAGCTCTTAACATAATAGCTTCTGAAACGCAATTTTCTGATCTTCTTTTTCATTGTTTTGTCTAATCAGCATATAGCAGCATCAAAAGGAAACGAAAACTGTGTGCTTCTTTTACTGGATTTTGGGGCAGATCCTAATAACAGAGGTAATTTTCAGTTTTATCAAAGATTCAAGTTGATTCTATCTAATCTGTACTTTTATATAATATATGTTCGATTCACACCTATTTTTGTTCCATAGCTACACAATAATTTCTGGGTATGGCCATCTTGCTAAAACACTTCTATTTGCCCTTTACAACGAAACCATTTATTAATTAATATTCATCATAAACTTTCCGAATTCGGATAGTCTTTTATATTTGGCCATGTTCTACTATTTTTGGCATTGTTTATGTAGCAAACTGTCTTTGACAATTTCCAGTTGACCTATCAAAACTGAATGCTTAATCTCGTCATCATATAACTGTCAATAAAGCACTAAACGTGCCAGATTGAATGCCAAGAGGGATATAGATCAATAATGCACAGGTTTCCCATTTTTTTAGTAAGTGATAAGTCAAAGAAATAAAAAATTTCCATTCATTCTTCACATCAGTTCGCTTTCTGAAATCTGTAAGTCAACTGTATAAACATTATTATCAGATCACCTTACTTTAAACGGACTGGTAGCCGACATTCTTAAGGTCAATCTATACATACAATTTGGATATTTAATATCTATTTATAGTCTGTAATGTCTCTTCATTTCCTTCACTTGTTTATTTAAGATCTATTATAGCTAATATTTGGAGTAAAGCCAACGCAATTCAATGGACAGATTAACCTTTCAGGATTTTAAATGTCATTTTATCGTCAAGGACATTTTCGTTTATTTTTTGTAAACCGATGTGGTGGTTTGGCTGACCTTAAAGTTACTGTATATACGATGAAAGATTAATGGTTTTGACTGTATAATTGTTTTTCCCTTGTGTGCAGATTTAGAAGGAAGTGTACCATTGTGGGAGGCCCTCTTAGGTGCACATGAATCAGTTATCAGGACACTGTCTGATAACGGAGCTAAGATAACTTCTGGTGATGTTGGTCTATTTTCATGCACGGCTGCTGAAGCAAAGAATTTGGAATTGCTCAAGGAAATTGTTCGTCATGGGGGGGACGTGACGAAACCAAAGAGCAATGGATCAACGGCTGTCCATGTTGCTGTTTGTGAAGGCGACATTGAGATCGTCAAATTTCTATTAGACCAAGGTGCCAACATTCACCAACCAGATGAGCATGGCTGGACTCCTAGGGACCTAGCCGAGCAGCAAGGACATCATGATATAAAGGAAATTTTCGAACAGTATAAACAGAATCGACCTCAACCCTCAGTCGCAATTCCTGAGCAGCGTCATGGGGTTCGGTTTCTAGGACGATTTAAAAGCGAGCCGAGTATCATACCAGGGTCCCACGACTCGTTTCCTCCACCAGATGGTTCGTGGGGGAGAGCACGTCCAAGGCGCAGGACTAATAACTTCTACAATTCTCTATTTGGAATCATGTCAGCAGCCCAAACTGGGGAGAATGACTCGCTTTCATCAGTAAACAAGGACAGAAGTGGGGTGGCTACAAGAACTTGTGCTGCTAGAGTGACTATAAGCTGCCCCGAGGCTCGAGATTTTGCTGGAAGGCTTGTGTTACTTCCGAATACCTTCCAAGAGTTACTCGAAATTGGTTTGAAAAAATACGGTTTCTTACCTTCCAAAGTTTTGACCAAAGATGGGGCTGTGATTGATGATATAGCGCTCATCAGAGATGGTGATCATTTGGTTTTTTCCAGTGATAACAGAAACAAAGAAACTAGGTGAAAACAGCTTGAGTGAACAGCAAATGACCACTCTCTCTCAAATTCTTTGAGGAAAAAAAAATACACCCTATGTTTTATAAATTTATATTTTATATATTACTTGTCGCATATGGTTATAAAAAGCAACCTTTGAGGAAAAATTTACAAATATACACACAAAAAAATGACACTTAATTGAGATAACAAATCATAAAATGGAGATTATCAAAACATTGGATTAATCTGTTTGTATAAGGATCCTGTACAAACAGATTTACAGGTGCAGCCAACGTGCTCACCTCCGCCAAAATATCCATGTAATAAGGTCGGGTCGTTTAGGTTGGGGTCATGCGTCTTAATAACGATTACCTTGTCCTTATCTCATACCTTTTAAAAACATTAATCAACTCTGATTGTGACTTTCCATAACCTTTATCCCAATCCAAACTGTCAACCTACCACAAGTTGATTTAAACTCAAACAGAACACTTTCAGTATAACACAAACACTTTGCATGATAAGGGTAAGGACTATGAGTGATTGGATCCTTTTAGAACTCCATCACCACCATCTATAAATACAAGATTAAATTCATAATTCAGGTACGTTTTCACATAATTTTTATTTCACATCCCTACGTATAAATTTTCTCTCTAACTTAAGCGTCGGAGACTCGTAGGGACGATGAGGACACACCTCGATGCCTTTGTTTCAAGTATTGGAAGAATTAATTAGTGTTCATTCTCAGTCATCAAGCTAAAAAATGAACGAGTACGATTTATGATAGCATCAAGATTTTTTTTTTGGTGGATTTCTTTTAACTAATCTGGCAAAATGCCCAAGTACACATAGCACAATTGTTTGTATATTACCTATTGTCATGCTTTGCATACCATTTTCTAATTATTAATTAAATATTTTTCTGTAAAAGAATTTTCTTCTGTGTTAGATTTAATAATTTATTGTCTTCTTATCGTATAGACCTAAACTCGAACATCGAGTCAATGAAAAAACTTCAGTAAGTTAATAACAAGAGGAAATTACACAAAACCCTACTTTTCAAAATCCATATTCAAAAATCAGATCACAAGTTTAACTTTTCAAAAATCAGATATTTCATATTTAATTAAATATTAATTATAAAATTTCCATCCCAGTTAATTTAATCCCAAACGAAAACCCTAGAATTCATTTTCGTCTTCTCTCTCCTCTCCAAATCCCTCACTCTCCTCGATCTCTCAGCCTTTCCGCCGGCGCCACACCCACCCTCTCATTCGGCGTCGGAACCCCCATCGGCGTCGCACACGATGATGCAGCCTCTCGCAACACAGCTGCAGCCGGTGATGGAAATTCTTGCACGATCG